TCATCATCATCATCATCATCATCATCATCATCATCATCATCATCATCATCATCATCATCATCATCATCATCATCATCATCATCATCATCATCATAATCATCATTCATCATCATCATCATCATCATCATCATCATCATCATCATCATCATCATCATCATCATCATCATCATCATCAGCATCAGCATCAGCATCAGCATCAGCATCAGCATCAGCATCAGCATCAGCATCAGCATCAGCATCAGCATCATCAGCAGCATCAGCATCAGCATCAGCATAGCATCAGCATCATCATCCACCATCACCATCATCATCATCATCAACTCACCATCATCCTCATATCATTCATCATCATCATCATGATAAATCATCATCATCACCATCTATACCATCAGCATCGCCATCACCATCACCATCGTCATCATCATCATCATCATCATCATCATCATCATCATCATCATCATCATCATCATCATCATCATCATCATCATCATCATCATCATCATCTTCCTCCCTCTCTTCACTATCATCATCCCTCCTCGATGTTATCCTCTCCTCATCTTCCTTATGTTCCTTATCCCTCCATCCTCACCCTCCCCTCCCTCCTCCCCATCATCCTCCAGATCGCTGTCCTGCCTCCCCGCGCCTCCTCTTGCTCTTCCCCCTCCTCCTACTCCTCCTCTTTCTCCTCCTCGTCGTCCTCCTCCTCCTCCGCCCCGCCTCCGCCTCCGCCTCCGCCTCCGCCTTCGCCTTCGCCTCCGCCGGCGCCTCTTCCTCCTCCTCCTCCTCCTCCTTCTCCTCCTCCCCCTCCTCCTCCTTCTCCTCCTCCTTCTCCTCCTCTTCACTATCATCATCCCTCCTCGGCGTTATCCTCTCCTCATCCTCCTTCTGTTCCTTCTCCCTCCATCCTTCTCCTCCCCCCTCCCCTTCCTCCTCCCCATCATCCTCCAAATCCCCGCCCCGCGCCTCACTCTTTCTCTTCCCCTCCTCCTTCTCCTCCGCCTCCTCCGCCTCCTCCGCCTCCTCCTCCGCCTCCTCCTCCTCCTCCTCCTCCTCCTCCCGGCTTGTCGCTCCTCCTGGCCCTCCTCCTCGCGCGTGACTCGCACCGGCGGCCGAGCGCCGGACTCTTCTCCTCGTCCTCGCCGTCGCCGTCGCAGTCGTAGAACTGCGAGTCGTCGTCCTCCCCGCCGCAGGCGGGCGCCGCCCCGAGCCCGCCGATGGGGAGCGGGGGCGCTCGTGGAGGGGCCCAGGGGCACGCAAACAGAGGAAGCACGCTGTTTGATGCCCATGTTCTTTCCTTCTGCTCTAGATGTTCGCCTTCCCCTCTCCCTCTCCCATGCGGGCTGGGGGGCGACGGCTTCTTGTGTCTGTGCCTGCCTTTTCCCCCTCCCGAGCTCAGAGGAGGCTGGGACGGGGGGGGAGGGAGGCGGAGGAGGAAGACGAGCAGCGCAAGCCCAACAGGCATCGACCGAGGCTGCAACACCCTCGCGCGGACGGCCCCTTATCCTCCCCCCCCATCTGCGCGAGAGCTACACGGGGGGTGGGGGAGGGGGCGCGCGTGCAAACCTCGGCTGGAGCTCAGCCAGAAGGACCCCCCCCCCGGACCAGGGAGATCGACGGAGGGGTGGCACGAGGAAGAGCAGCAGGCGGACAAGAGAGAGAGAGGGGGGAACTGGAGGCAGAGGGCCGACATGCGCGACAGAGGAGGGCGGGAGAGGGGAGGGAGAGGGTCGCCAACGCAGCCCAGGGGGGCTTGGCTGCGTTGGCGGCCCTATGGTCAGGATCGCTTGTGCTCGTGATGCCTCTCCAGCAGTCTCCGTCCTCAACCTCCCCTTCATCTCAAGACCCCCCCCATCCCGCCCCGTGCCGCAGGGCGGCGGCAGGCACAGCTCGCGGGGGGGCGCGCTCCCTGCGGGGAAACTGGCGTCGAGGCCGACCTCGCGCCTCTCATGCCGAAGGGCATGGCGCGCCGCGTGGCGGCGCGGAAAAACAAAGATCAAAGACGTGTGGTGCCCCATTCCCCCCGCCTCGATGACGTGAGCGGAGGCGCGATGGTGAAGCAGGATGGTGCAAGAAGGCGGGGCGTTGGTGCTGGCACGGATGATCATTCAGAATTCCCAAGCCTCCGGTGGCAGCACGCCGCCCGCGTGCAAATTAGCGTCCCGAGGATGCGCGCCGCGCCTCCTCCTCAGAAACGACCCTTGGGGACGCGCCGTCAGCAGAACCCACCCACGGCCTCGCAGGCTTGGGCATCGAGGTCGTAGGCGATGGCGACGGCCTTGTCGAAGGCCTGGCCGGGGATAGTGTTCGGAGCCGCGGGAAGCAGGGGGGGTCCGACGTGCTTCTTGGCGGGTCAACCTCGCTTGCATCCCAATCACCTTCCGACTGTAATCTGCGCGCTGGTTGCTCTTGCCACATACGTGGGCCTCTCAAGCAACATCCAAGTATTCCTGCCTGGTGTCGCCGTGGATGTACCATGCGGCGTTCGTGCTCCGGGCGCTCGGCCTCCGCCTCGCACTGGAGCTGGGCCTAAGCCTGGGCGGTCGGCCTCAGCGAAGCTTTGGGCCACTTCTTCTCGGTGATACATACGCCTGGCCCATCTTGGCGCCCCAAAGCGATGCGTTGTTCAACTTCGATACCGTCTTCTGGGCCGCAGCCCTGGAGGCATGGGTGGCAGGGATGTGCCCTTCGTTGACGGACGCATTGTTGATACGGCCGGTGAGGTAGAATGTGGCCAGGATGGCGGCCGTGCCCGCGCGACCATCGAGTAAGCTGTCGACGCGGGTGGTCCTGTCGGCCGCGATCTGCGTCTCGGGATTTCGCGGCGGATCCTGCCGTATAGCGAAGGGGGGGGGTCCTCGGCGACACGGCACGAAGGGCTGGGTGGGGCGGGCCACCGAGGGGGCTGGGGCCCCTCTGCCTGGATCGCCCCGCCATTCCCTCGGCGAGTCCAAGCTGGGTCTTGCCCCGTCTGCGGCCCTGCTGGCCTCTCGGCCCACCTCGGGCAGCGCGGCGGCCCTCGCTACCTCCGCCGCCGCACCCTCGAGGCGGACCTTGGCGGGGTGGGGGGCTGCCCTGGTGGGGAGGCGCCCTCGGCACCTTCGCGGCTGCCGGTGCCTCTGGGAGCGCTGCAGTGGGCCGCCATCTCTGCCGCGCGAGCGCGCTCCGCGCGGACGACGGTGCTGATCTCCTCTGTGGCGCGCGGCATGGCGAAGCCTTCGGCGCCGCCCTCGGCGTCGCCGTGCTGCCCGGCGCAGACCAGAGCTGGCTCGAGCTGCGTCCAGGCGAGGCGACGACGGGGCGCTCTGGTCCGCGTTGGAGTCCGTTCCCGTGGCGGTCCTCCTCGTCGTGGCAGCTCTGCAAGTGCCCGCAAAAGCGAAGCCTACCCCCGCAGACCCAGGCGTGCCTGCGGATGGTCGTTGGGGCACGCCTGGTCCTCGTGGGAGGCCGGCGGGTCCCACCAGGAGCGCTCCTGGTCCCCGCTGTAGCGCTGCTGGTCGCCGTGGGGGCGCCGCTGGCCCTCGCAGGGAGCGCCGCTGGTCCTCCCAGTAGGAGCCCTCCTGGGTTCCCGTGGTAGCGCCGCCAATCCCCGCAGGAGAGCTGCTGGTCCCCTCGCGGTTGAAGTCCACGGGGGGCGCCTCCAGCTGCATCGGTGGTGGTCCTCGTGGGAGCGCTCCTGGCCCGAGTCCCACTTGGAGCGCAGCTGGTCCCAGGTGTGCAGTCGGGGTGGATTGGCGAGGCCACGCGAGAGGACACAAAAGACTCTTCCGACGGCCACATTGCCAGTGGAACGTAGTGGGCACGGGTCGCGAAACACACGACACAAGGGTACCCTTGTTTGGGCGGGGTCGACCTACTAATCAAACTTGGATTATCGCGCTGCTTGCCGATGTAGGAGCATTCCTGGTCACAGTTGGAGCTCCGCTGGTATACCCACAGGAGGACCGCTGCTGGTCACAGTGGGAGCGCTGCTGGTGGCTGGAGGTCTGCTGGCTGACGGCGGTGTCGCTCTCGAGGTTGGCAACGATAGCGAGGCCATCAAATGAAGATGGTCGCCGTTCTCGTGCCGCGGATGCGATTGTGCGCCATGCAGCCTGCCACTGTTGTGCAGCCGGTCTCGCATAGCGCACGGTGCTCGCGCGAGATGTTAATCGCGGTGAGGGTCTCCAGCCAAAGGCGTGGTACTTCTCGTAGCCGTACAGTCGGGGCATTGACCTAAGGAACCTTAAATAAGGAACGCGGCCCCTTTCTCCCATAAGTTCAACCTCGATTTCCCATGGAAAACCTCAGGAAAACCCGAGGCAAACCTTGAAACAATCAAGGAACACCGAGCCCCTCCCCAACGAAAAGGGTTCCTTCTTCAAGACCCCTACTGTAGTGTTGGGGTCGGCGCAGGGCTCTCCCCGAAGACACGTAAGTGATCGTTTTTTATTCATTGATTTGCCGATCGGCGCGGGCCCCCCAACCCCCCCTCCCCCCCCTATGGGGTGGATCTAGGTTTTTTTTTGTGGCGCCTGTTTCGAGCGGGTGACGTCCCCCCCCAGAGGCCGCCCTCTTGCAACCAGTCGCATCAAGCAGAGGTCTTGTCGGCGCCGGCAGTGTTGGGGTCGGCGCAGGGGTGCATCGCGGACTGCGCGGCCGCCACCGCCGGATGCCGCGCCCGGGCGCCGCCCGCTCGCCCTGCGGCGGGGGCGGGCTCGGAGGCGGGGGGGATGCCCCGCAGGCGCCTGCTCTTCCTGCTCCTGCTCCAACTTCTGGGTTCTTCGTCGTCTCCTCCTCCTCCTCCTCCTCCTCCTCCTCCTCCTCCTCCTCCTCCTCCTCCTCCTCCTCCTTCCCCTTCTACCCCCTCTCCTCAGGGGCAGCAGGGGATAAGAGCAAGACGCAGCGGGAGATCGTCCTCGTCCTCGGTGTCGATGTCAGGGAGGTGGAACCGCATCGAGTCAGCCTGGGGACCGCGCCGCTGACGCCTCCGTCGCCTCCCTCCCGCCCCTGCTCCTGCAGCGTTCGTCCTCCCTCCCTCCCTTCATCTCTCCTTTCATCCTCCCCCGCCTTCGCCGTCGCCTCCCCCGCCCTCGCTTTCGCCGAAGGGGGGGAGGGGGGGGGGCGGGGCCAGGCGCAGACGGGCGGAGACGCCGTCTGAAAGACCCGGGGTGCCAGGAAGGTGCAGCCATGCTGACCGCGGACGCCTGCGCCCGAGGGCCCAGCAGGTTCTGGCGTTCCCTCGGCCGGCCCGAGGTGCCCACCAGTGTTGGCCCCCCGCTCTCGCGTGGCGGCTGCGATGGGCTGCGCTCCGAGCCGCAAGGCCTGAGAGCACCCCGAGCCCTGGCGAGCACCCCGCCTGCGGCACCCCACGGGCGACGGGGCGGAGAAGGACTGGGAGGGCGTCGAGGGCGTCGAAGAGCGGGGCGTCCGAGAGGGGGGGGGTCGCAAACCGTGGCCCGAGGCGCGTGCGCGGACGGAGGGGGGGTGGGGGCCACGGGGCGTGTTGAAGTCACAGGAGGGGCCATGAGATCTCGGGAGAGATCATGGCCCCCGCCATGGTGCTCACCCCTCCTGGCCGTCACCCCCCCTCTTCGACGTTCACGATGAGGAGCGCGTCCGCGCGCGGGGCCATGGAGAGATCTGCTCCGAGAGCCGTTGCTGGGCCCGCAGGGTGGAGACCACGACGATGACGTGCTCCTCCGAGGGGGAGCAGTCCTCCCGCCAGCCCCGCCAGCACCCGAGCCAGGACATCGGTGGGCAAGGGGGGGGGGAGAGGGCGAGATAGGGCACAGACATGCGCGAGAGAGCCTCGCGGCTCCCACGCTGGACGGGTCGGACGTCTGCGATGCCTCGGCCGATGAGCGCACGATGGCGCGCAGGCGGCGGATAACCAGGCCCCCCATATGGCCCGCTCTGGAAACCCTGAACCCCGAGCTGTTGTCATCTCCTGGAAACGCGTCTTCTAATTCCGCCACCTCCCGCCGGCCCTCGGCCGGCTTCCGCCGCCCTTTCTGCCACCTTCCGCCGACGAAGAGATTGCAGCTCCTTCGACCCTCAAGAGGCGAGGCCCTGTCCCGGAGTGCCCTGCAGAACCAGCTCGGCGAGCCCTCCTCTCCGCCCGCGACGAGGGGCCTCGCCTCGCTTCGCACGCTTCCGCTTTCCCCGGGGGTGGCCCTCGAGGAGGGCGAGCAGGACAACCAGAAGGAGGAGGAGGAGGCGGAGGAGGAGGAGGCGGATCAGGAGGAGGAGAGAGGAGGGAGGAGGAGGGGGAGGAGGAGGAGGAGGAGGAGGAGGAGGAGGAGGAGGAGGAGGAGGAGAAGGAGGAGGAGGAGGAGGAGTAAGGAGGAGGAGGAGGGCAGAGGAGGAGGAGGAGGAGGAGGAGGAGGAGGAGGAGGAGGAGGGCGAGCAGGACGACAATGGCGAAGGCCGCGAGGCCGCGGGAGGGGGGCGCCAGGGCGCGCCTCCGGGCCGAGGCCAGTGAAGAGCCTCTTGTCCGACGCCGCGGCCGACGGCGGACAGCCGGGCGACCCCTCGTCGTAGCCGAAGAACTCGGCGTATCCGTCCTCACAGAGGGGGGGGGGGGAGGCGAGGAGGAGGACAGAGGGGGGGGGAGGCGAGGAGGAGGAGGGGGGCCGAAGAGGACGAAGAGGAGGGAGGGGGGCAGGGAAGAGGGAGGGCACGGGAGGAAGCGGGCCGGAGAAGGGAGGGAGGAGGGAGGAGGCGGACGAAGGAAAGGGGAAAGACAGGATGAAGGCCACGTGCACACCAGACGCAACATGATTTTCATGCACTCGTATTTCTTCTATGAAGACACGCTGCACACACATACACACACATACCCACACCCACAACCACAAACCCACACACCCACACCCACACACCCCCACACACACACACAAATGTATACATCAACGCTGATCCACCACCTTTCTAGCGGCGGCACGGTAGGCGTGTTATAAGATCTTCTGTTGTATGGCCAACGCTGCCAAGTTTACTCTGGTGTTTCTAAAACCGGCCCGACCCCTACGATCAAGCGGTGTCAGAAGATCGGCCCCCTCTGGTTTTGCTTTCTGGCGCTCATTTCGGCATCCTGAAGCTAGAAGAAAACTAATCCGCCGGCCCCCTTGTGGGGCCACCAGGCTGTAGGACCGTGATTCGCAGTTTCCTGTACCAGTCGTAGGTTGTAGTTTCCAGTGTTGCAGTGCTGCTTCTTGCTGGTTACTGTAACTAGTTGATTGACCGCGCGAGGGGGGGGGAGGCCCAAACGGGATTTTTAGCACCCCCTGGGCGCGTTGTCTGAATTGCTGGGGGGGGCTCGAAATCGACACCCCTCACACAGATCGGCGGGGTCAGGGTCTAAAAACACATGGGATTTTTGCCACATTCTGAAATTCGGTGCCACCCCTCACGCAGATCCGCGGGGTCAGGGTCCAAAAACACACGGGATTTGCCACATTTCTGAAATTCGGTGCCACCCCTCACGCAGATCCGCGGGGTCAGGGTCCAACAACACACGGGATTTGTCACATTTCTGAAATTCGGTGCCACCCCTCACGCAGATCCGCGGGGTCAGGGTCTAAAAACACATGGGATTTGCCACATTTCTGAAATTCGGTGCCACCCCTCACGCAGATCCGCGGGGCCAGGGTCCAAAAACACATTGAATTTGCCACATTTCTGAAATTCGGTGCCACCCCTCACGCAGATCCGCGGGGTCAGGGTCCAAAAACACAGGGGATTTGCCACATTTCTGAAATTCGGTGCCACCCCTCACGCCGATCCGCGGGGTCTGGGTCCAAAAACACAAGGGATTTGCCACATTTCTGAAATTCGGTGCCACCCCTCACGATCCGCGGGGTCAGGGTCCAAAAACACAAGGGATTTGCTACATTTCTAAAATTCGACACCACCCCTCACGCAGATCCGCGGGGTCAGAGTCCAAAAACACAGGAGATTTACCACATTTCTGAAATTCGGTGCCACCCCTCACGCAGATCCGCAGAGTCACGGTCCAAAAACACAAGGAATTTGCCACATTTCTGTCATTCGGTGCCACCCCTCACGCACATCCATCGCAAGACGTGGTAACCCAAACTACAAAAATTCCCTCGGCCCTTTAATCGCAAGATGTGGCAACCAAGCCCGTAAACCATACACGTCTTACCAATCGCCAGGTGTGGTAACCCCTCTTGTGATCAGTTGGTTTTGCTGATTGCGAATCGGCTTCGCATGAAGTTTCGATACTGCTTCACGACAGCGCCAAGACCTCATGACTTAGCTCTTCCATGGCCCATTCTCCAAGAGAGGGGGCCGGCGGCAGGGGGCGAAGCCCTTACGGATAATCATCCCAAACGGCTGCACGAAGCCCCAAAGCCATCCAAACATCGCCCCCGAAGCCCCCCACAGGCTCCAAAACGTCCCCAAGATGCCCCAAGAGGGGCCAAGAAGCCTCCGAGAGAGCCCCCAAGAGGCCTCCAGCGAGGTCCAGAGCGGCGACAAAAAATGAAGAACGCACGAACTGTCAGAGATTTCTTTCGCTCCCCTAAAACTGCTTGTCGGTCCCATCTGTTTTCAATTCAAACTTTTTCCCCTACCTAGGCTCTGCCTAGAAGGGTTCTTACTCGGTGTGCTTAAAGGGCCGGGCAGTGCAACCCGCCCCGGGCGGTTCCTCCAGCATCCGCCCCGCGGTTCCCCCAGTGACGTTCCCTTAGCTTAGCGTTGCTCATCTCATCTTAGCTTAGCTTATTTAATCTTAGCTTAGCTTAGCTTCATCTTAGCTCAGGTTTATCTTAGTTTAGGTTACCTTCATCTTAGCTTCGCTGAGCTTTAGCATAGCAGATCACAGCATAGCATAGCGTAGCATAGCGCAGCACAGCATATCATAGCATAGCCCAACATAGCATAGCGCAAAATTGCATAGCATAGCATAGCATAACTCAGCGCAACACAGCATAGCACAGCGCAGCATAGCATAGCATAGCAGAGCATAGCACAGCAGCGAAGCAGAGGCAAAGCAACAGCAGCGACAGCAAAGCAAAGCACAAGCAACGCAAAGCAAAGCAACGCATTAGCATGGGTGTAATTCCCTACCTAGGCTCTGCCTAGAGGGTTAGCTTAGCTTAGCTTAGCTTCGCATAGCGCAGCGCTGCATTAGCATAGCATAGCATAGCATATCATAGCATAGCATAGCATAACATAGCCAATCATAGCATAGCATAGCATAGCATCGCGCAGTATAGCATATCATAGCATAGCATAGCGCAGCTTAGCATAGCATAGCATAGCACAACGCAGCATTACATAGCATAGCTTAGCATAGCATAGCATAGCATAGCGCAGCATAGCGCAGCATAGCATAGCATAGCATAGCGCAGCATAGCATGGCATGGCATGGCATAGCATAGCCAATAATGCTGCTTTAGGGGTTCCAATTTCTAGGTAGGGTCGCACTGGGGTAATCCTGGCCCGAGAAATTCTGCTCGGGTAGATACTATTTGGTCAACACTTCTGCTCTCGAGGCTTTCTGGCGTCAGATCGCCTCGGGAAAGCTTCAGGGAGCCCCAAGAACCACCAGACGGCCCAAAGACTACCCGAAAACCGTCCGACACGGCCCAAGAGGGCTCCACGACGGCCCCGAGGCCGAGGCAAGAGGACAGACCGCCCGCTGAACCGGCGCGGGTCTTAAACTCGCCTTCTTCACGGCGTGTTCGCGCAAATTAGAGATGCGTATCATGAGGTCGAGGTTGCAAGGATAGCGTGTAACATCGATCTCCGAACAGCACGCTATCCCTGTGAGGCGATCCCCCCCCCCGCGAGGGCCCCCTCAGCGCACGCTATCCCCCTGCGATGGCCTCGTCGGTGCACGCCACGGCAAGTTCGTGTCGTACCGACCCCAGCATTGGTTCCTGACACCCTGGGGATCGTTCAACCTTGAACGATCGGCCGTTGACTGAAACGTCGGATCGTTCAACATCGACCGATCCTGGGCTGCTGGCGGCGTTCAACGTTGAACGCCAACGGCGGGGTCGCCGCTGGTCGACACGACGCGAACCTACCGTACCCCCAAGGTATGGGATACTGTCTAATAAGCGGGCCGACGGCGCCGCATCGCACGCTACCCTTTGCAGCGCCAGCCGTACGTCCCAGTGCTTTGCTCACAGAGCTCCAGAGCAATATGGCGCACGTGCGCCTATACCCCAGTCGTAGCACCCATCACAACGACATCGTGCTCAGCGCACGCACCTTCTTCGCCTTCGGGGAGGGGTCTGCGCGCTCGTCTTGAGCTGTTCGCGATCACACCTGTTTCGGGGCGCGCTCACGCCCCTGCCCCGTCCAAGTAGCGTGACGATTCGCGCTGGCGCCGCCCGGGGATGGCTGGGGTATTCGTGATGCCCGGATTGCGCCAGCGCAAATTCTGACGCTACCCCCCGCCTGGCAACGCCCGTTCACGCTGGAGTTATAAAACACGGGCTCTGCCCGAAAGGAGGAGGGAGGAGGAGGACAGAGAAGGAGGAGGACGGAGGAAGAGGAGGAGGGGGAGAAGGGGAGGGAGGAGGACGGAGGAAGAGGAGGAGGGGGAGGAGGACGGAGGAAGAGGAGGAGGGGGAGGAGGAGGAGGAGGAGAGGGAAGGAGAAGGAGAAGGAGGAGGAGGAGGAGGAGGAGGAGGAGGAGGAGGTCGGCATACGGCGGCCGGCGGCGAAGTGCAACCGGCGCGGCCCCTGGGCGGGCTCGCTGCGAGCCTCGCCCGTCGGCGCGCACGCGGCACCGAGCCGCGGCGGCAGCAGAAGCAGCGGCCACGCACTGGCGCCAGGACTTGCCCGCGAGAGCGAGCTCCGGGTCGGCACGCGCGCGGCCGCCTGCACCTCGGCGCGCGGGCCTCTTGTTGGGGCCCTCCCGGGCGGCCGCTCGGGGCCCTCCTGGGGGCCTCTCGTGGGCCTCTCGGGGGCCTCTCGGGGCACCTTGGGGTCTCTCGGTGCCTCGCGGGCCCGGTCGTGGTGCAGGCTACGTCTCCCGTGTTGGGCCGTTTCGAGATGCAGAGCGGCTCCGTGCCGTCGTTATGGGGGTGCCCTCTTAGGTCCCTCTCGAGGGCCCCTCTCGAGGGGTCTCCACCGCTGCTGGGCCCGGCCAGGGGGCTCTCCTGGGGCCATGTCGAGGCCAGCCAGCTCGAGTCCCCTCGAGGCCGTCGGGAGCAAGGCAAGTACAGTGGAGGCCAACCCACCACAAGAAACCCAACCCTGAGACCCCAGGACGTCCGTTGATTTTTGGTGTGGGAGCGTCACGCTTCCCGCAGCAGATCCCTCGAAACCCGAGAAGCTCAGGGCACCCTGGAGGCAAGCAGGGTGTTTCTTGGCATGGGCCTCCACTGTAAGAAAGCAGGCACCACGGAACACCCCTGGATTGTTGGATGCTCTTGGCCTCTCGGGCCCTTCCGCAGCCATCTTTGGCCGACACGGGCGCGGCCTTGCAGCATCTGGCCATGTGCTGTCACCTCTTTGTTTCTTGCCTCGTCGTGTCTCGTGTGGGGCTGCCTCGCCTGGCCCGGCCGTCCGAGGCCGCTCCCGGAGCGCCCTGGGCCGTCCTGGGGTCCAGCCCCCGCCGGCGCCCTGCCAGGGCGCCACGTCTGGAGGGGTCCGCACGTCTTCGTACATGGGAAGTCCGGCCCAGGGGTCTGAACGGGGGGTCCGCGAGGAGGTCAAGCGCCCAAGATGGCTCCAATACAGTCGAGGCGCAGAGTCATGATGCACGGTAAGGATGCCGGGGCCCTGGAAGGCCATGCCGACGCCATTCGAAAGGGGCTCGGGCCAGCGAAAGCGGCCAAGGATGAGCCGAAGGGGAAGGATGCGAAGATAGCCTTGGAACGTCGCTCATCCTTACTGTGCGGCCGGACTGTAAGGTCTCAGACGACCCCACGTTGCCTCTACGATGCCACGCGAGAGCCCACGATGGCTCGACGTGGCTTCCTGCATGCCTCCAAGACGCCCGAAGACCACCATACGACACCTCCAAGTGGGCACGGACTTTCCCGACGATATAAACAATATGGATACATCAGTCCACAGCTTAGTTAGGTACGGCGTTTCGTTTCGCCTCCGATGGGCTTCTGAGGGCGCATCTGGCTCCAAGATTCGTCCACGGGGAGGGAAATGTACATTTTTGACATATCCGTAACTTCGACCGTGCCGAGTCCAAGACGGCCCCAAAAGCTCCCGAAACCGCCCCAAGACGGCCGACGAGACCTCCAAGAGGACCCCATGGTGGCCCCAAAGGCCCCACACAGAGCCCCATGACAGCCTCAGGAGACCTCCGAGACGACGGATAACCTATCTAAAAGGTCCCCCAGAGGGCCCTAGACCGCTCCAAAAAGGCCCCTACAGCCCTCGCCTCTCCCCACACGCCCAAAAAGGCCCCAGAACGGCCCCATACAGTTCCAGAAAGTCAAAAAGAGCTCCGAGGGGACCCCTGAACAGGCCGGAGAGCACTTCACACGCCGTCTTCCGGACAACGGCTTCCCACGCAAAAC